TAACAAAATTACATAGGTTTCAGGTGTACAATTCTATAACATATCATCTGTATATTGTATTGTGTGTTCACCACCCCAAGTCAAGTCTCCTTCCGTCACCTTACTCCACCCTAAGCTCTCTGCTACCTACCCTCCCCCACCCCCGATGTTTCATATCTCTGGTCATGCATTTAGGACCCTCCCCAGAACTTTCCTCCCCTGGCATGTGGCTAGTCATGCAGTAGATCCCTTAGAGGAGAAACTAAGGGGCCAGAGAAAAGCTTTATCCATGCAAAACTACTCCCTTTAGCATTAAGCCCTCAAGGCAACAAGGTTCTGACTCAGATCAAATAACCTGAAGAACAAAGCCTTGGGTCTATTAACCACACAGACAGAGTTTTGGTCAAACTAGAGATAACATCTAGTCCTCACTTGTGTTTGGCTCCAGGCCCAGGTAATCAGAAAGGCCAGGTGAGGTGACGCCATGGATGATTTCAGGACCAGCTGCAATGACTAATGATCTCCTTCCCATCAGTGGAGGCCACAACCCTGAGGAGACATACCTGAAAAGCTAATAAATATCTATTGAGATCCTCCCCTGGGACCTCCAGATAGAAGCCCTTGATAGGATGTGGAGGACCCAACAAGCACACTTTCTCTCTCTCTAGCACACCCATACCTTCCTGCACCCCTTATTTCCCCAGGGCACTCTCTCCGGAACAAGTCTGCACCTTTTTCCCTCTCCTATGCCCAGGAGCATTTTCTTTCCCTTTCTCCTAAGCTCCGAGGGCCCTTATTTTACTTCTGTAACTTGTTTCCTGAGCCCATGCACCCCAGCTGGCTCACTTCTTCCATAGCTTACTTCTTCTACCTCTGAATTTCTAAATCAACTTTTGCTTGTATTTGAGTCTTGGCTCTGAATTCTTTTTACCAAAATTCAAGGACCAAGGTCTAACACCTGGTATCATTTTGCTGTTAACATATCATTTTTTTTTTTTTACTTTTTCTCCCACTGTTCCCAACTCCCTCTGCATCTGCCCTGAAGCTCACAGGAAGGTCCTGGTCAGAATCACAATACCAGTATTGTTGGGCAGATATCAGGCTCATGGAGAGGAAGCTGGTGGAAGCTGATAGGGTTTTCCCAGAGGGAATAAAAACTGTAAACTTGCCTCTGATTTCTTACTGAAACCCAGCTTCCAGGGTCTGCAGTTAGGAAGCAGTGCTGTTGGTGTTTGGAGAGGTCTATTCTGTCACTTTTCTTTTTTCTAGTGTGATTATATAAAGCTAGTTTAATTAGAAGTACAACAAAAATCACGGACTCCAGCAGTTGTGGGAGGGGTTGATCAGATGTTAACTTTTCTTTCTCCCTTTGTTTTTGCTTTTTTAATCATTTTTAAATTGTTACTCTATTACAGTTATCATGAATTTTCCCTCTTTGCCCTCCTCTGCCCATCCCATCCCCTGCTCCCACAGTCAATTCCCACACTGTTGTCCATGTTTGTGGGTCATTCATACATGTTTTTTGTCTAGTCCCTTCCCCTTGTTTCCACCATTATCCCCCTCACCCCTCCCCTCTGGTCACTTTCAGTCTGTTCCATGCTTCCATGCCCGTGGTTCTATTTTGTTAGTTTATTTTGTTCATTAGATTCTTCTTATAGGTGAGATTATATGGTATTTGTCTTTCACCAACTGTCTTATTTCACTTAGCATAATATTCTCCAGTTCAATCCATGCTGTTGCAAAAGGTAGGGGTTCCTTCTTTCTTTCTGCTAGGTAGTACTTCATTGTGTAAATGGACCACAGTTTTTTGAGCCGCCCATTTACTGATGGACACTTAGGCTGTTTTCAGCACTTGGCTATTGTAAATAGCACTGCTATGAACATAGGGGTGCATAAGTCCTTCTGAAATGGTGTTTCAGGATTCTTAGGGTGTATTCCCAGCAATGGAATCACTTGGTCAAAGGGCAGTTGCATTTTTAGTTTTTGAGGAAATTCCAAGCTGTTTTCCACAGTGGTTGCACCAGTCTGCATCCCCACCAACAGTGCACTAGGGTTCCCTTTTCTCTGCATCTCACCAGCACTTGTTTGTTGATTTCTTAATGATGGCCATTCCGACCAGTGTGAGGTGATATCTCATTGTGATTTTAATTTGCATATCTCTGATGGCTAGTGATATTGAGCATCTTTTCATATATCTCTGGGCCCTCTGTATGTCCTCCTTGGGAAAGTGTCTATTCAGGTCCTTTGTCCATTTTTTAACTGGATTGTTTGTCTTTCTGGTGTTGAGTTGTATGAATTCTTTATATGTTTTGGAGATCAAACTCTTGTCTGATGTGTCACTGGCAAATATGTTCTCCCATATGGTTGGTTCCCTTTTCATTTTGATGATGGTCTCTTTAGCTGTGCAGAAGTTTTTAGTTTGATATAGTCCCATTTTTCTATTTTTCTCTTTATTTCCTTTGTCCTAGGAGACATATCGGCAAAAATATTGCTATGTGGGATTTCTGAAAATTTTCTGCCTATGTTTTCCTCTAGGGTTTTTATGGTGTCATGGCTTATATTTAAGTCTTGTATCCATTTTGAGTTTATTCTGGTGTATGGTGTAAGTCAGTGGTCTAGTTTCATTTTTTTCATGTACCTGTTTAGTTCTCCTACACCATTTATTGAAAAGGCTACTCCATTGTATGCTCATCCCTCCTTTGTCAAATATTAATTGCCTGTAGAGACTTGGGTTTATTTCTGGGCTCTGTATTCTGTTCCATTGATCTATGTGTCTATTCTTATGCCAGTACCAGACTGTTCTGATTACAGTGGCATTGTAGTATAGTTTGATATTAGCAGTATTTCATTGAGTCCTAGTTCCAAACCCCAGCTCTGAAAGGTGCATTGCTTGCCTTTAGGGAGTTTATATTCTAGCTGGGAACACAGAGCCTGCATACTTAAAATAATTACAAACAGCTTTAAAGGGGACTCAGTGGTAGCAGAGACTTTAAAGGAGCAGAGAACTAAGGTTCAGAGTGATGACAGACTTGTCCAGAGCTGTGGAAACAGCTTATGCTCTGTGTCCAATGTGTGACCTTCTCCATGAAATAATGGTAAATAAAACCTAGGATTAGCCTTGGCTGGTGTGGCTCAGTGGACTGAGTGCTGGCCTGTGAGCCAAAGGGTTGCTTATTTGATCCCTAGTGGTCAGGGCACATGCCTGGGTTGTGGGCCAGGTCCCCAGTCGGGAGCATGCAAGAGGCAACCACACATTGGTGTTTCTCTCCCTCTCTTTTTCCTTCCTTTCCTGTCTTTAAAAATACATGAATAAAATCTTAAAAAAAAAGGATTAACTGAAAATCTAAACTGCTCCCTGCTTCCATTCCCCACATGTAGTTGATACCTTGGGAGAGGCTGATACCTTCATCTCTTCCCAAGGAGGACTGCTGGGTGTTTCTGTCTCTGTGGGAAAATGACTCACAGGTGTGGCTTGCTGATTTGGAGGTGAGAATATCAGGTCCTTACAGGACAGAAGCAGCCTGGTAACTTGGTAGCAGTTGTACTGAGCTTTAGCTAGAGACATCCCTCCTTGTTCTTGGAAGAAGGAGTCTTGCCTATTATTCAGCCTCATGTGTCCTTCTGACAAGTGCTATAATCTACTGAGCATCTATTATGTGCCAGACACTGTGTTAAGCACTTTGCTGCATTCTCTCACTTCAGTCAAGTAATAAGCAATGATTGAACATTCTCTTTGTATCCAGCACTGAGCCAGGGGCTGGGCGACTGGGGCACAGGATTTAAAAAAAGACAGAATACTCCAGGTCCTCATATCTAAAGGGGGAGTGTGTGAGTGCAGTGTGAGAGGGTTGGTGTGGAGGTAAATAATCAGTTCTGACTTGGTCTCCTGGCCTGCTGGTAAGGTACACTGTACTAGGCGACTACCTCCTAGTACTGTTAGGTGCTAAGGCTTTCTCTTCCCATTAAAAAGGGAGACTGAATTAACAAGGTTTAAAGACAAACTAGTACCAAGTAGACACTTCAATTTTGTCATAATGAGAAGAGTTAAAAAAAGAAAATTGAAAAAGAAAGAACTGTCTTGTGATTCAATTAAATGCTATTTAATATCAGCTACATGATGTGGTCTCATTCTTAAAAAACATTGACATAAGAATATTTGGCTCTATGGAGAAGTTTCCCCAGGGAAGGAAGGAAACAAATGGTTTGTGAATAATTGTTTGTGCCAGATCCTGTGTGACCTCCCTTTACCTCATGGAGACCTTATAATGATCAGTTGAGATGGGTGTTAGGGTCTGTTTTCACTTGGGAGGATCAAGAATCAGGGGTTGTGCCTTGGCTGGTGTAGCTCACTGGATTGAGCATGGACCTGGGAACCAAAGCGTTGCTGGTTCGATTCCCAGTTGGGGCACATGCCTGGGTTGTGGGCCAGGTCCCCACTGGGGGCACATGAGAGGTAACCACACATTGATGCATCTCTCGCCCCTCTCTCCTTCCCTTCCTGTCTCTCTAAAAGTAAATAAATAAAATCTTAAAAAAAAAGTGTCAGGGGTTGTGTACCTTGACTTGACGTCACACACATACTGAGAGAGAGGGTCGCTCAGAGGCTGCATGAACTCAGGTGTGGCCCCAGAGCCCATGGTCCCTCCAATACCTCTTTATATTTCCATGACCCAGTTCTTCCATCTGATATAAGGAACTTAAGAAAAGCAGTACCCGTTGTCTATTTTGAGGTGCAGTCATCAGAAAGAGGCAATACAGTATATTTGTTGAGAACATGGCCTCTGGAGCAAGACTGCCTAGATTTACATTCTGCCTCTGCCTCTTATTAGCTGTGTGATCTTGGGCCAGTTACTCATCCTCTCTGTGCCTCAGATCCCTGAAGGATAATAATAACACTCATTTCATATGGTTGTGAAGATTAAGTGTGTTGACAAGTGTAAAGCATTTAAAATACTGCCGGCACATATTTCACTCTATGTGCTAATATTATCCATACATTATGTTGCGGCTACCACACTTGGTTAAGAAGGTAGCTTGCCAAGGTATCTCCTTTTAAAAGCAGACTTCACATCTTTATTTCTCAGGCTGTAGATCAGAGGGTTCAGCATAGGGATGATCACACTGTAGAAGACAGACACAACCTTGTTCTGTTCCAGGGAATTGCGTGAGCTCGGCTGAGTATACATGAAGATGAGTGTGCCATACAAAAGGCAGATGATGGTGAGGTGGGAGGTGCAGGTGGAGAGCGCTTTGCTCTGAGCCTCTAGGGAATGCATTCTGCAGATAGTCGCCAGGATGTAGGCATAGGAGACCAGGATGATTGTGACGGTAAAGAAGAAAATCAGGGCAGAAGATGAGGAGATGATGGCTTCAACCTCAGCAGTGTCTGCACAGGCAAGTTGAAGCACAGCGGGGATGTCACAGAAATAGTGATTAATGACGTTGGGGCCACAGTAGGGCAGGTTGAAGACATACCCAGTTAGCAAAGCTGAATTGGCAGCAGAAGCTGTATAGGTGGCTGCCACCAGCTGGACACGCAGACGATAGGACATGATGGAGTGGTAGAGGAGAGGGTGGCAGATGGCGACGAATCGATCATAGGCCATGATGGCCAGGAGCAAACACTCAGCAGTACCTTGGAGAAGCATGAGGGCCATTTGGACCACACAGCCAGCAAAGGAGATGGACTGGCCTGAGGTGATGAAGTTCTCCAGCAGTCTGGGGGTGTCTGTGGTGGATAAAGAGGCGTCTATGAAGGAGAGAATGCTCAGGAAGAAGTACATGGGCGTGTGGAGCTGTGGCTCCATGTGGATCAGGATAATCATGCCCAGGTTGCCCACGAGGGTGACTGAGTAAATGAACAAGAAGAGTACGAAGAGGGTGCCCTTGAGCCCTTCCTGGTCTGTGAGCCCCAGCAGGAGGAACCAGGTGACCTGGGTGCAGTTCTCAATTGTGGTGCACATGTCACTGAGAGAGACCAGATAAGACATGTTTGTACTTTAGAGGCAGACCTGGGGTCAGTTCCCAAATCCCCCCTCTTTTTTTCTTATTATTCATGTTACTATTATTTTTAATTGAATTTATTGGATGACATTGCCTCGCAAAACCATACAAGTTTCGAGTGTACAACTCAATAAAACATCATCTGCACACGGCAGTGTGTGCCTATCACCCCAAGCAAAGTCTCTTTCATTCCCATTACCCCGCTTCACCCACCTCCACCTCCACCTACCCCCAAAGCCCCTTTCTCTCTGGCTGTCACCCTTTTCATGCCTCCAGAGTGGGCAGTGCTAGGGGGTCTGGGCTGGGGACACTGTCATGAATTAAACACCTACGATGAGTCATGTGTTAACTCATTTCCTAAACAGCTATTGAAACTTCACACATAATTTCTCATTTAAGTATTATGCCCATTTATATTTGGTGAGATTATCAACTTGCCCAAGGTAAGAGAGCTAGCACATTAGGAAAGTGGGATCAGAACCCAGTCCATTCTACAAGAGTGTGGTGATTGCTGGGGAGAGAGGGGCGGTAGAGGAGGACATAGGAGGTATAAATGGTAAGGGACGGAGACTTGACTTGGGGTGGTGAACACACAATACAGTGTGTACAGATGATGTGTTGTCGAACTGTGCACCTCAAACCTGTATGATTCTGTTAACCAGTGTCACCCCAATAAATTCAATAAAGAGGAAAAAATCTTTCTAACTAAAACCCCCCCGGTTCATTCTAATAAAACATAAGCTTTTATAGTTTAATCACTTTCTGTCCACAAATTTCCTGTTCCACGGGGACCTGGCATTATTAGTGAGTGTTGGCAGCCTGGCATGTTGGCCCAGAGAGGGAGGGATATGAAAGGATAAATTTCAACCATATTTGAGGGCAAAGTCTCCAACACTGTCAGCCCGGGGGCCAGGGACACAGGAAGTCAGGACTAACATTGACACACTGTAAGGGGACTCAGGAGCGAAGTCATTTTTCCCAGTGTTGTGGGTTGAATTGTTTCTTCCAAAAAGATATGTTGAAGTCCTAACCCCAGGTACCTGTGAATGCGACCTTATTTAGAAATATGGTCTTTGCAGAAGTAATGACGTTAAAATGAGGTCATACTCAATTAGGGTGGGTCCTTACTCCCATAGGACTGGTGTTCTTATAAGAAGAGACAATGAAGATGCCCTGGCTGGAGTGGCTCAGTGGATTCAGCTTGAACTGGTAACCAAAGGTTTGCCAGTTTGATTCCCAGTCAAGGCACATGTCTAGGTTGCAGGCCAGGTCCCCAGTTGGGGGCATGCGAGAGGCAACAGGCTGATGCGTCTCTCACACGTTGATGTTTCTCTCCCTCTCTTCCTCTCTCCCTTCCCTTCTGTCTAAAAATAAATACATAAAATCTTAAAAAAAGAGAGAGAGAGAGAAAGAAAGAGACAGTGGAGATCCAGGGAGGAGCATGCCATGAGAAGATACAGACACAGAGGCAAGGTGACCACGTGAGGAACAGAGGCAGAGAGCCTGGAGTCATGATGCCACAAGCCAAGCAATGCCTGGGCCTTCCAGAGTGGAAAGAAGCTTCAGAGGGAGCATGGCCCTGCCAACACCTTGATTTTGGACTTTGAGTTTCCAGAACCATGAAGGAATGAATATCTCTTATTTTAAGCCAGTTTGTGGTGCTTCATGACAGCAGCCTTAAGACACGAATATACCCTGTTGGAGATGCTCCTGGCACTGAGGCTCTGAGGCTTTGGTGGTGGCGTCCTAAGCAGTTGTCCGGAGACTGGGATTTCCTGATCTCTCTCTCTATTGACAGAGCTAATAATCCCGGGAAAGAAAATGAAATAAAACAAATTAAAATAAAGTCTATGTTATTATTTACTACTCATCAAGAAAAATATTTGTCTGGGAGAACAGGAAGCTATAGTAAACGTGAAAACTCTGGCTCAGCAAAGACTTATGTTTTAGCTAGAAACAACTGAGGGCTATAGGACATGCCAGATTTGGGGCTTTGGGGTCTAGGGCAGGACACGGTTTTAAGTCAGAATTGGAGGTGAGGCCTCTAACCAGAGAGCGCAGGTCAGAGAGTTCATATGTCTCCCCCTTCAGCTCCCCAGAGGGGTTCTCATGTTTATGGAAGTTCTCTCAGCTGTTGTCAGGCTCCCAAGAATTTGCTTCTGAGGATGCTCACCTTCTAGGTTTTCAGATAACCAAGGTGGCCATTCTAGGTGGCTAACCAGGTAGATAGCTCTTGTATGGGATACCAGCCAGGGTCTGTTGTGATTGGTCAGACATCTGTTGTGATTGGCTGAGTGTAGGTTCTGATGGTTTGGACCACTCATGGGGAGTTTAGAGTTTAGAGGGGGAGACAAACATTAATGAAGTAATCACACAAATTATTGAAAAACTACACCTGAAACAATAGCTCCAAGTAGAGGTACTGAATACTATGAGCCAAAAACTTCAACTCAGCGAGATCAAGGAGGATTTTCCTTAGGAGGAGCTTTCCATAGGAGAGAATGAAACAATCTCTACAAGGGTCCTGAGCTGTGAGAGAACCCGGTGAGGAGCAGGAGCTGAGTAAAGGCCAGTGTGGGTAGAGGGCAAAGGGAGAGTGGGTGAGCTCAGGCCAGCAGGCAGGCAGTGCTTTGTAACATTTTTTGAGTGCTTGCTGTGTCTGACATCTTTCCAAACACCTTAAATGTCATTTAATCCTCTCAACAACCTTGTAAGATGTCCAGTTGAAATCCCCATTCTGTATATGAGGAAACCGATGCACAAAGTACTTAAGAAACTTGCCCAAAGACTCACCTTCGGTGGTCAGGTTTTAGAAATTACACTTTTATTGTTCGGTACCTTAGATCACGTTAAGGAACTTGTTTCTTATGGGATTCCATTAAGGAATTTTCTCTGGGAGGATGACATAGTCATATCTGCTTTTTGATTAGATCGTTTTGAATGTATTGTGGAGAAATGATTGGAGAAGGGTCAAGTGGATGGGGGAAATTTTTTGGGGGGATATTGAAGCCACCCAGGAAGGATTCATAGCTTAAAGTGGAGTGGGGCTAGTGGAGGCAGAGGGAAATGGATCTGAGAGATGTCAGGCTGTAAATATGTCAGGATTTGGTGATGGACAGGCGATGCCAGCATGAGGAGGAGAGCAAGCAGTCAGGGTGAACTCCAAGGTCTCTGGTGTACAAAATAAAGCTTGTAGTTGAAGGTAAGAGATGGTAGGATGTACCAGGCAGAGCCTGAGCTATAAAAGATATTATTAGCTCTTGGGGTAGGATCCTGAGGAAATCAATTTCAAACTCACTGCACACTGCTTCAATGCTCTGATTTTTTCCTCCACTCACCTAGGCGCTGGAGTTGATCAGATCTCAAGCCTGAGGAGCATGGCTTAGGAGGAAGAGGGGATAATCAAGTTTAAGCCCTCACTGGTGATAGGGTTCCAGCCCTCCGCCCACTTACGTGTGGTTGAGCAGAGACCGTCCATCCATGAGCCTTGGTTTTGGAGTCCTCTTGCAGGTGTCTCTTTCCGCTTTTCCTTGATTGCCTCCCACCAGCTTTCTCAAGAGAACTTCTCCGACGGTCGTGAACAAAGCCAAGAGATTCCTAATTGCTGGAAAGGCTCCTGTCTTAAGATTCATCTGGCTTTTTTTATCCTTACCCCTAGAGCTCAGAAATGTGCCAGTGGGAATTTATGACTGGTTCTCCCACGTGCAGGCCTGGATTGCTGGCTGTCTCTAGGGGATGCTGGAGAGATCTTGCTGAGGGTGGCTTGGGAGCCCCCTGGAGAGCAAGGGTTCTCCAGCAAGTGCCAGAACCAACCTTCTTCATTTACAGGGTCCATCCCTTGTGGCCTTGTTTTCTTCACGTTATTGAGACTCAAAAGGCCCTCAAGGCCAAAGTGTACCTAGGGACGCATGTCCACACAGTCCCTGTGTTTCACAGGAAGGGACTGGAAGTGCTAATGACATCAACATGGAAGGTCTGGATGTGGCTTCCTGAATCGTTATTTCCTTTGATCTTCAAAATATCCCTGGGGAAACTTGCTTGATGTTTTTTTTTTGTTGTTGTTATATATAGACAATAATAGTATTATACCGTAATTGCTTTATTCACTTAACAATATTGAAAATACATCTCTCTACCTCAAAAACAACGTAATTCTTCCTCTCTCCAAAAGAGCTTTATTATCTCAGTAAAAATAAACCTGCTGGTTGTCAAATTTTGAAGCAACACAGAAAAGAGCCAAGAAGAAAGTAAAATGTCGCCTGAAATCCCACCTCCACAGAAAATGGGACTCAGTGAGGGGCCTGGTTATAAGTCTCTCAGTGCCTTCATAAACAGAATCATGCTAGACCAGCTGTTCTGCCACTTGCTTTCTCACTAACTGAGAGGTCACGGACCTTTTCCCACATCAATTAATAAGTAATAGCCCACGTCATCGTATTTACTGACTGCATATTGTTTTGTTGTGTATATGTGCCATCCTTTACTTAACCGGTCCCCCTTGGTTGACAAGAAGGTATTTCTACCTTTTCACTGCTATAAACAACTTTCTGACAGACAACCCTCAGGTATGGGGCCTGGAGGGCCAATTCCAGGGAGAGTGGGATATGTAGGGACTGCCTTTCCATTGCCAGGAAGGAAGACATTGGCTTTCTCCTTGGGCAGCCTGGAACCTGGGGTTCTGCAATCCCAAGGGAAACCACTATGCAAAGCAAGGCAAAGGGCCTTGTGAGGGAAATGACTTGTTTGGTTAAAAGAAATTTAGTCCCTAGACTACTGATCTGGGAGAGAGTCTCAGCAGATGAGAGAATGGATTGCTCATGATTCCTGCAGGTAAAAGGGGTTTATTCACCTGGGAGAGACCTGCTGAATCTCACCTGCAGAAGTGAAAGAGTGCTGAGTCCTCTGACCTTCCCCACTGCATTCCAACTTGCACAGGTCGCCTGATGCAAATGCCTGGCTCATTGTGTCAGTTCTCTACAGAGGAACATGCAATAGCCTCCTCCCTTCTGAGCAGAGAAGCCAGATCATCTACACCCACATAACTACTGGGACGGAGAGCAGACACTTCCTGTGGCCACATGACTTAACAAATTGTCCAGGAAGTTCAGGCCTAGGATGATATGACTGTAAACCAATGAACAGCTGCCCTGTTTGCTTCAAGAAATTCCTGCAAGTCAATTTATCTGAATAAATAGTTTGTCCTCTGCGCAAGCAGCTCTCCTATCAGGAAAATAGATTACTCACCCGGACAAACAATTTTCTCAACAAACGATAGTTTACTTACCAAGGTTTACTCTCAGGCTCTTTCCGGTATCCGCCAGACCTGAACTATAATGTCACAGCTTTGTCCAGTCCTAATCTGCTCTCTGATTTGAAAGATTTACCTTAAACCACTAAGTCCAGCTCCATAAACCCTATAAATATCTTCCATTAATTTCTTCCTTCTGAGACACTACTAATACCTGTATTCTTTTTTACTTCAGTAGAGCTAATCAATTTAGCCTTGGTTGAGCAACAGGTTTTCTGGTTGTCTGTTGAAGAGTTATTAGTTGGCAATTTATTCTTTTTTTATTTTGTAAATTTTTTTAAAAATTAAATTTATTGGGGTGACATTGGTTAACACAACCCACGGACATAGACAACAATATGGGGATTGGCTTGGGGAGGGGAGAGGGCAGGGCTGGGTGGAGGTGAGGAAAGGGAAAAAAAGCAGGAACCACTCTAACAATATAAATAATTGGAATAAAATAAAAAAATGATTACCATATTTTACTGTATAAAATGAGCAATTTCCCCTCAAATTTTTGAGGGAAAAATGAGGATGCACATTATACATGGGTAGTACCTGAAATACCTTGTATTGGTCTTGTGTTTTGTAGTTATTTGTTACATAAAATTTGTTGCACTGTAACGTGTTCAAAAATAAATGTTAAAATTCCTTTATAATACAAAAAACAAGTATCTAAATATAAATAAATAAGAAAACTAATTAAAGAATTTAAATAAAAGATTTTTTTCCCTTAAAGTTTGGGCCAAAAAACGTGGGTGTGCATTGTATATAGCAAAATAAGGTATATAGGTTCCGAGTGTACATTTCTGTAATACCTGATCTGTATATTGCACTGTGTCCCCACCACCCCAAAGTCAAATACTCTTTAGTCACCATATATTTGGCTTCCTATACTCTTTACTACCTCCCCACCCACCTTCCCTCTAGTAACCACCATACTGTTGTCTGTGTCTATGAGTTTCAATTTTATATTCTTTACCCAAGGGCATTTTGCTTCCTGAGGGCATTTTGCTTCCTGTTCTGGCTACCTTTATTACCTCATCAGTATATCTTTCATCAGTATATAAGTTCCCTCATACTACCAAGAAGGTTCAGATTTCACCCAGATAGCAGGACTAAAATGCATCTTACATGGATCATCTTCTTTGGCTACTTTAAGCAATATTACTTCTTCTCCAAGCTCCTAATCCTTGATTGAATCAGTGAATCACTACTTGTCCACTCTTTTTGTTTTTCTATTTAGAAATTAAAAATAATTAAAATTACAGCTTACATTCAATATTATTTTGTATTAGTTTCAGGTAAACAGCATGAAGTTTAGGGAATTGCATACTTTACAAAGTGTTCCCCTGATGTTTCCGGTACCCACCTGGCACCACACACATAGTCATCACAGTGTTATTAACTATATTCCCTATGCGGCACTTTACGTCCCCATGACTATTTTGTAACTACCAGTTTGTACTTTTTAATCCCTTCGCTTTTTGCATCCAGTTGCCTAACCCCCTCTCCTCTGGCACCATCAGCCTGTTATTTTTTAAAATATATTTTATTGATTATGCTATTACAGTTGCCCCATTCTCCCCCCCTTCCCTCCCCTCCACCCTGCACACCCCTTCCCACCCACATCCCCCTCCTTTAGTTCATGTCCATGGGCCATACTTACAAGTTCTTTGGCTTCTACATTTCCCATACTATTCTTACCCCCTCCCCCGTCTATTTTCAACCTACCATCTATGCTACTTATTCTCCGTACGTTTTCCCCCTCTCTCCTCCTCCCACTCCCCTGTTGATAACCCTCCATGTGATCTCCATTTCTGTGGTTCTGTTCCTGTTCTAGTTGTTTGCTTAGTTTGTTTTTGTTTTCGTTTTAGGTCCCCATAGGTGTTTTCAATTGGTGTTTTGAGGCTTTATTTCCCTGTGTTGGGACCCTGGGTTGCATGGTCTGTCTCACTCCCTAGTTGCGCTTGGTTTATCTGCGCACAAATGTGGGACCACCCGGTCCGTCAGCTGCCTTGCTCACTGCACCCCTCCACACTCCACCGCCTCGCTGGGTCCCCCAGCCACCACCTTGAGCGCCTGGGGTCCGCCAGCTGCCGCTTTGCCTCCAGCCCTCTCTGTCCTGGCTGCCTGACTCCACCCCTCCTACTGGTCTGGATGAACGTGTCTACTTTAACTCCTCAGTTGTCAGACTTCCATACAGTTCAGTTTTCTGTCAGTACTGGTTGTTTTTTGTTTTTAAATTGTTGTTGTCCTTATTTTGGTTGTGCAAGGAGGCACAGTGTGTCTACCTACTCCTCCTTCTTGGCCAGAAGTCCCAGCCTGTTATTTTTATCTATGAATCTGTTTGTTCATTTATTTTGTTTTTAGATTCCACACATAAGTGAAATTGTATGGCATTTGTCCTTTTCTGACTTATTCCACTTAGCATAATACCTGCTAGTTTCATCTATGCTATCACAAATGGTAAGATTTCATTCTTTTTTATGGCCAAGTAACATTGTATCGTATATATGTACCATCACTTTTTATTAACTTATGTATTGATGGGCACTTGGGTGGCTTCCATATCTTGGCTTTTGTAAATAATGTTGCAGTGAGCAGAGGGATGCATATATTTTTTCAAATTAGTGTTTTGGGTTTCTTCAAATATGTATCTAGAAAGTGGAAACACTGGGTCATGAAGCAGTTTCATTGTTAACTTTTTCTGAGGAAACTCCATCCTGTTTTCCACAGTGGCTGCACCAGTCTGACTCCCCACCAAGAGTGCACAAGAGTTCTGTTTTCTCCACATCTTGGCCAACACGTTTTATTGATGAGAGTCACTCTGAGAGGTGTGAGGTGATATCTCATTGTGGTTTTAATTTGCATTTCTCTGATGATTAATGATGTTGAGCATCTTTTCATATGTCTGTTGGACATCTGTATGTCCTCTTTGGAGAAGTGTCTATTCAGGCCCTTTGCTCATTTTTAATTTGTGTTTTTGGTGTTGAGTTATGTGAGTTCTTTATAAATTTTGCATACTAACCCCTTATCAGATGTATCATTGGTGAATATCTTCTTCCATTCAATAAGTTGTTGCTTTTTGTTTTGTTGATGGTTTCCTTTGCTGTGTGGAAACTTTTTAATTTGATGCAGTCCCATTTGTTTATTTTTCCATTTGTTTCTCTTGCCGGAGGAGATATAGCAGAAAAAAAATATTGCCGAGAGAGAGATATCAGAAATTTATTGTC